AAGCTGACATAGAAACTGTATTGCCTCCTTTACTAGTCATTTCTGATGGTAACCAGGTGTACTCTCCTAATGTAACTGAAGGATCAGTTCAATATGTCTGTCTAACTCAAGGGAGCATGATTGATACTTATAATGGAGTTTCTCTTATAGCTACATTCACTCCTAACCCAGAGGAAGCTGAACAAACTAGGATATTTGATATGGAGTGTAGCAGTGGTACATGGACTGGAAGAACTGGTAGTTTAGATCCTGTTCCTAATGGTATTGTTGTTGGTGCTCCTCCAAACACTTTTTGTTATCGGTGTCGGGAAGGTTTTAATGAAGGTGGTATAAGATGTAGAGGTAAGCCAATTAGAAACTAAAATCATGGATACTGTCCATGCTATAATAATAATTGCTTATTTCATTTAGAGTGTGACAGTGCTTGTAATTCTGGACTGATGAGGTGTACTGGATCAGGTTCTACTGATTGTTGTTTATCATTTGCTACTAATGGTCAGTGTGTTTCAACCACTAACTGTACATCATCATCAGGTCCTAACTATGTTGCTACTGAGAGTAATAACTTCATTTGCAGTAAGTATTAAAACTGCATTACTATTATTATATTTTATTATTAGCTTGTAATCTAACCTGTTCTACTGGTTATACTGTTAATTCTGATTGTACTGATTGTGATTTGGCTAGTATCTGTGATAGAGACACTCCATGTATGAAGGGAGGACAGTGTACACAGTATTCACCTCCTGATAATTATACTTGTGATTGTACTGGTACTGGATACCAGGGAGCCAAACTGCACTGGTGAGTGCTTAGAGTGGATTGGACAATTGGGCATACATTAATTTAATGTAGCTGATCTATTTGTTATAGCACATTGGACTTGTGTGTGGGCTGCAAGTTTGTTTACTTTGCATTGTCAGTGCAATTGACTAGTGCAAGTGCATGCCTATATGTACACATACATGCATGTTTGTTTCATTATGTCCAAGTATGAAGGAAGTCATAACTCATTCACTAGATAAACATGGAGAGCTAATTAGCTACATATATTGACTATATTTTAGTGGTATCATTTGTTCGCTATTTAGATCTCAATATTTGTCAAAGAGCAAACAGTCCATGTATGAATAGAGGACAGTGTACACAGTATTCACCTGCTATCAACTACACTTGTGACTGTACTGGTACTGGGTATGAGGGAATCAACTGTACTGGTGAGTAACAGTGTTAATAAATTTGTTAATGGGGGATTCACCATGATTTTTTGTAAAAATTCTATTTGTGTAATGAACTCTTGCAAATCACTTTGTTATAAAATTTTCAAGTTATATATATATATATATATATATATATGCAATCTTTTAGATCTTGTTGCTTGTAGCATGGAAGCTATAGTTAGTAGTGATCGTGGTACATTTGAATGGCCAGAGACAATGCCAGACAGTACAGTTAATATATCATGTCCTAATGGTCCTAGTGGTGCTACTGCTAATAGAACATGTACTAATAATAGTACTTGGGAATCACCTGGTATAGAATCCTGTGGAACATCTGTGATATCTAATCGATTTAGGAATATTTCAAAGGTAAATAATAATAAAGACTTGGTATATACTTGTACTATAATTTCTTACATTGTATATTCAATAGGTAAATGTTACTGCTGAAAATGTAGTATCAGTATCTGAGAACTTAACTGATCTAGTGGTCAGTACTACTGATGCTGCAGACCAGAATACTGATAACATTAGAACAGTATCTGCCATATTGGACCAAACAGCAACACTGCTATCAGATTCCTTGATAATCATGAATCTCTTATCATCAGAATTATCAATGGTACAGAACATATTTTATGATTATTTGATTTCTTTAAAGACAAC